TTTTTGCTGACATCAGGACTGAAATAATGACGTTTTATGGATTTGTTTATAGATAAGAGGTGGGATATGGGAAGAAGAGACCATTTATTGCATTTTAAGAGAAGGTGATAAGTTACTAAAATTGTTTATACTTGTGATGAAGGTGGGAATCACTTCTTTATATATTTCTTTTCTTTCTCTTTATTATTTATTTTATTTATTTATTTATTAAATTTGTATGCCATCCATCTCCCCCAGAGGGTAACTATTCTTATTTTTCTTTCTTTTCTATTTCTTTTTATTTTTTAATTTTTTTCTTTCTTTTCTGTACCTTCTACTCTTTTTTTATCCTTTTATCTTTTTTCAGTTTGTATTAGTTTTGACTTATAATTATCATCTTTAATAAAATTACTATTTAAAAAAGGATAAATTTAGGGGAGATCCCTATGTAAACTGGTTTGAGCTCTCAGGAAAAAAAGCCCCAATATAAATGGATATCAATGGAAATCATCATCATCATCATCATCATCATCATCATCATCATCATATTAATGATATGGTAGCATGACTTTTAACTGAAATGTTAAAACAAATAGGAGATTTTCAGAGTAAAAACAGATTTAGGTATGACATGTCTAGTTTTTTCATTGCTTTATGTCCTGCATATTTTATATAGAAAAGCTTCTACATGCCAGCAAATTAACAGTATTCATAAAAAAAAATGCTTCACTATGCCAACCAATTCATTAAAGCACAATTAAAAATACATCTATACAAAGAGCCAGACAGTACCCAGTCAAGTAAAATCCAATTCACCAGCCACATCAGCTCCTCTGCTGAGTTTATACTTTTGCTACAACATCTATGCATCTGCTGGGATCACAGGGCACTTTTGTTTAAGTACAGCGGTTTTACTTTCTAATGGCTGCATATATTTTATTAACATAAAACATATTAAGCGTAAGAGTGAAAGGCAACGTACAAAGGAGTAGATGAATATGCTAGAAGGAAGGCTGTGTATGCAAAGACAGAAAGCTATAGAGAAATATAGTGAATGCTGTGGGTGCAAACCAGGTTTAGCTATGTTTCTTTTCCTTATCTTAATGCCTTAATTCTTGTCTTATTATTCCTTACTCCTTTTCTGCACTTTGCAGAAGTTGTTTACCTTGAAAGGAAAGCGTGCACTACATATATATAGTATATATGTTATATACTGCCCTTCTAATCCAAACACAGTCATAATTCCAAAGGGGAAAAAGGATGTAATAAAGAAGATGTTTGTTAAATTTCATTTAATAAATCATTAAGTTTTCCATTTCCTATAAAGCAGGTATCTTCCAGAATGAAAAGATTGTTATCAGACGTACATGAGATCTTCTTAAAGATGCTCTGCCATTGTTACTCAGAGGGGTTTTCTTCATGGTGCTGATGGGGGTTCAGTAGTGAGTCCACCTACAGCCACTGCATGATTTAAAAACAAAAAACAAAAAACAGGGGAAGTAAATCGTACTCTTACTTTTTAGAACCAGAAGGTAACTTACAGGTCTCTGTCTGTGTTACAGGCAATGTGATGAAGTGGCACATGATGTTGAGTTGGGCTAGTGTGGCTTTAGCTTGCAGCTGACTTTAGGAGCAATAATTATGCACTTTCATTGTGCTAAGAGTAGGAACCCTTTTCCTCTCAGCACTAAAAGGGAATTTTCCTCGCACCTTGTTCACCCTGCTGGCCCTCCCTTGTTCGTGTCATCTAGAAGTGACAAGGAGTGAAAAGCTTTGCTGTGCCTACGCAGGCAGGAAAGATCTTAATGGTGTCCCCCTGACCACTCTGCTCATCATATCCCATCATTTGCCAGCCGAGGCAGCCCTCAGGTTCCCTAATGTTCAGGTTAGCCCTGTTCAATCTGCTTCATTAAAAACAACATGTACCGAAAGAGCAATGCTTGTGACTCTTATTTTCTGTCCAGCTGTTGTAAAGGGAATAAGAAGGTAGACCAGAAAAAGGTTCAGTGTTCCAAGGGAAAAACATATAGGAAACATTCAATGTGTGGCATAAAAGTAGTGCTTGCAGTGAATTAAATCCTCTGAAGAGACTCCAACTATACTTTTTAGAACATTTGCACCTGAGCATTTGCAGTCACTGAGTTTTCCTTTTCTCTGTTCATTTGCATTTTTTGTCCTTCAGGAAGTGATCCTAGCTAAACAGGGATGATGTAATAGATTCACTTTTGTCATGGTGCCAATCAGATTACACAGCTTGCCAACATCACCAAAAGCAAACAAAACTCTATTGTCCTCAGTGGAAAAGGGAACACAGCCATGTAGGAAGTATCATCAGCTGATCCTGCCTACTACATTAACCATTTTATACTCTCCTTCTATAATATCATACAATACTGTCCACAATAAACATCTCACCATTTCTGCTTAGTTCTCCAAGGCAATCTAGATATACATGGTCTCAGCATGAGCTTCTCTAAGGAGAAAATGTCCCCGTTAATGCCAGTATTTTTGTAGTAAGTGGTCTGAACATCACCCAGCCTTTGATCGTGAGCAGATCTATAAGAAAACATGAAAAGCTACAACAGAAGATGCGCTTGAGAAGTTTCAGAATTGAGGAGAACTGAAGGAGTTCATAATGACCTGAAATAATGTTGAAACCCAGTATTTTGCAGCAACATTTACTGCTTGAAGGAGCTTTGCTATCACTGGAGAATTAGTCAAAAGGGAGCAGATCCATGAAAAATGCACCCCAGGGATGATTAAATTCTCTGCTTTTTCTCCATTGCTGTACAGAATTTCATATTTGGCTTTTTAATCTCCATTTTGCCCCTTAGGGAGGAAAATGATTAGAAAGTAGGTAATGATACAGATCTATGAGTGGAAGGTAATACCCTTAAGAAATAATTGGTCAACTATTTTGAAATCAGTGACATTGTTTTAAGTTAAAGGTATACCAGATTTTAGCATTTGGTTTAAAACTGCATGATTTAAGTCGGCTAGAGGAAACTAAGATCTTTAGCACAGTTGTTATTGCTATGGCAACCACTTTCTTAATGTCCCTGCCCTTGGTATTCTCTGAGGTTCATGTAAAGCTTCCAGAAAGTAAAAGGATAAGTCACTTTCACCTTTCTTGAACTATTTCAGTTAGTTGATGCTGTTGGAATCCCACTTTTCCTCCCAGAGCCTAACAAGGAACTCACCAGTATTTGCTCTTCCTGCAGATTCTCTTCATTTCTAAAAGCAGGTAGAGAAAGAAAGAAAAAGGGGGAGCCTTCAGCCTTTGAATGTCCAACCAATTGAACTGTATGCAGGTGCCTCTGAAGCCACATGCAAATCAGAAAAGCCCCATTCCAGCTGGATTGAAGGAAAGGTGAAAGCAAGAAGGGGAAGCCTCTTGGCTCTGGCCCTCCCTGCACAGCCTGTTGCCGGTTCAGCGGCCTTTCAAACACTCCAGGGACTGTAGCAGTGTTTGAACAGGCTCCCCGTGCAATCTGAAAACAGGGACCCTGCTTCAAACGCTTACTTCCCAAAACACAGGGCAGCTGCAGAAGGAAAGAGTAGATCATACAGCAAGAAGCAAGACTGAGGTTTTCCCAGCCGTTGGCTTCTCTCTTCACTGATAATTGCTGGGGGAAAAGAAAAATATCTGAGTAAGGCTACAGATGTGATTGTAGCTTCAACATGGAAGCACGACTAAGCCATGCTTTGCACAGTGGAGCTAAGCATTTGCAAACTCTGTTCCTTGGAAAAAATGATCTTAATAGTATTAAAGTAGAATTGAACACTTCTAATCACTGCTACATGGAAGCATATTTTAGCTTAATTTCTTAAATGAGAGGTATCAAGACTTAAGCTGTTGCTTCCAATTATTTCAGAACTTCAGAAACGACTGTGGTTAGATTAAAGAAAATGCACCCTGTGCATGCTCATAAAAGATTAATCTGGAACATTTACTTGCTGTTGTCTTGCTATATATATATATATATTTTTTAAAGGTTTCAGATCCTTGGCTCACACTGAATTTTGGACATGGCGATCTAAGAGGGGTGCCATGTAGATCCAGCTTTACCCATCTTATTGCTGCCCAAATAATGTTGTAATTATTCTTAAACCAGTGGAGGCATGACAGAAAAACTGTGTCAGTCTCTGAAGAAGGGGGCAAGAGTGGATCCTAGAGCCGGGATCAGTAGAAGTTTCCACCAACAGGAATCCACCCACTCAACAGGTCTGGAGGAAACTATCTTTGCAGTGTTTCCTGTAGAGCAGGAGTTGAGCCAATGATTAATTAAATCAGCTTCCCAACCACTACTTAACCCTCACTGACTTGTTGTGGCCCTTCAAAGGGGGTGTTGCCCTTAAATGTGTGCAGGGCCTAACGTAAAAGAATGTAGAGATAACTGTGATGAGAAAATGCATGAGGTATTAAGGGAGGAGAAATGACAACCTAGTCATGAGAAAGAGACTCAAAATAATCCTACCTTGATTCTCTTAGGTGTAAAGGGGAGCAGAGGCCAACTCTGGCAGGCTTGTGAGACAGACTGATGGATCTCCCAAAGGTGGGGGGCTGATTTTCCTAGTTACAACTGTCATGCTGTGGTCCTAGGAGTTGGAACTATTTATTTATTCATTATTTATTGACTCAATTTATATAGCCACCCATCTCACTTCTACGTGATTTTAGGCAGCTTACAATAAAACCAATAAAAACACAAACTACATAATATAAACAAAAATAAAAACACACAGCAGCCTGGCATGATCTAACTTATCATCCATACAACCGAGGTGGGCTCTAATCCACGCCCGGGGCCCCAGGCTCAAACACAAAGCTAGGTTTTCAAGGCCTTATAATATACATATACTATAGAATGTATTTCACTTTTTAATCATTTTTTTTCATCTGTACTGGCCAGCTAGGCTATAGGCTGTATAGGTCCCATCTCTCTTAGGTTCAGAGAGAGGACACCAGGTAAGGCAACCCCCTGGAAGATAGATGGTGGCAGCAGTGAATACCAAGGAGGGACCAGACAGTGTAAAACCCACAGGACTGCTGGGCGGGAGGATTGAGTTATCTCACTTTTCCCCCATGGGCTCAGCCATGCTGCCTAAAAATGTAAACATTTGAAGTATATCAACAGACATTAGACTATCCTAATGATTCTATAATTATTTCTGATTATAACAATAAGGCATTTGAATTTAGGGGACGGATTGTCACAGGATTCAATCAATGTCATTGCTTTAATCCTCTTCCTGAATTGGTCACATGTTCATCACAGTGTGCTTGTCATTTCTTGACGAACAAAGTATTATTATTATTATTATTATTATTATTATTATTATTATTTCACTATCATACAGATCTGAAGCTGTCTGTCCATTTGGGAGAACTAGATGGTTGCTTAAGATACCAAGTGAAGTAGGGTGCCAAGTTTTGAGGGAAAAAATCATATATAACCCTGCCTCTATTTTTGTGGAGATGTGGGCACCAATTACATGGTTCACCTAGGCTACTAGTTACTGGCAGTTAGTTCAGGGCCACCTCATTTTTATTAATAGTACATTTCTATGTATAGATACATGACTATATAAGAAGGTATTGAATGGGGAATAGGTGACAGAAAAGTAAAGATTCTGTGTGTGTGTGTGTGTGTGTGTGTGTGTGTGTGGTGTTTTGTTTCTTTACCCTTGGAATGTTGTCTATATATCTTAGCAAAGATAGCCCACATGCTCTATATCTATTCAGCCCAATCCAACATCTTACTTAGAAATTAGCCTTCTCAACAGACTAGATGATTCAGTAATTTTAGCATTGGGCCAGAACATCATTTGTCAAGTGTGGGAGTCTTTATTAAAACTTGGAGTGTTATAATATACTAAAAAATATTTCTGACAGCCCCATTCCCTTATTTTCCAATATTTACAAATAAGAAACTGCCTGCAAAGAATCATGAGCTGTCCAGATATTTTCACCTCTTTCTAAAACTAAGGGATTATTAAGTTTTCCCTTTTTATAGAAGAGATTCAAGTTCAAAATGTATCAAGTAGACGCCAAAGTCTATTTGATTAGTTGTCATATTGTAATCATTATCTTTCCTTTGTTTTTGTATTGTTTGACTGATTGATTTTGTGCCGTCAAGTTGGTGTTGACTCTTAGCAATCACATAGATTTTCTTCAAGAATTTTCTGTCTGTCAGTTTTCATGGTAAGACACAAGAGTGATTTACCATTGCTTTCTACTGCTCAGTTTGAAATATTGCCTTTGCTATTGTCACTAAAGCAATCATCTACCTCCAGCATCTTCCTGACTCACTGCTGCCCAGCATACAGTAGGCGCCTGCTTGCTTTAGCTGGGCAGCTGAGATGACCTTCACACCTTGCATGAGCCTGCTGGGATTTCACCTTCCTGCATATACTCCTGGCTTTCTTTGCTCATCCCTCCCCGCCTACCATGAAGAGGAAGCAAGAGTTGGGTGTGTGTGTTTCTTTCAGTTTTTTTTTTTTATTTTATTAACGGATTGTTAATAGAAAAGATTTATAGAATCACTTTAGGATTGGACAAAAATTAATTATAAGATTCAATCCAGACAAATGGAAGAACAATTAATAAGGAACTCCAGTGATCAAGATAAGGTGGCCCCATGAATTAACAAGAACATCACAGAAGGCTATTCCTCATCCCACTGCTATTTCAAATGGCTCATGAAACTCCTTTGTCAGCTTTAGCTTTTCCTTAAAGTGGCAGCCTTGACTTTTCACTGTCTATTCTTCAAGGCTCCCTCTAGCCTGGAACTGTCTTTGGAGACAGTTCAGAAGTTTCAATTGCCCTGAAAGACAGTAGCCAAACGCTTGCCTTCAAGCCAAAGAGCTGGCCTTTCATGCAGAGGTGAGTGGCATAAGTGGAGTAGAGTAGAGGGAAGGATTTCTGTGGGCAGGGATTTCTATGATGCTGTTTCTTTGCTTTGGCTCAGCACAATAGGTGAAGCCAGCCTTTGAGTTTTATAAACAGTGCGTGTGGTTTAGCTTTATGTATAACCCCAGCAATTACATCTTATTTCACAAGAGATTATTTAAACTAACTATGATTTGATTATGTGCCATCAAGTTGTTTTCAACTCCTAGAAACCACATAGATAGGTTTTCTCCATGACAATCTATTCCTAAACTGTTCTTTCAGGTCTCTCAAAAGTGCACTCATTGCCACTGTAACTGAATCCATCCATCTTGCTGCTGGTTGTCTTCTTCTCCTCTTTCCTTCCACCTTTCCCAGCATTAGAGCCTTCTTCAGAGAGCTGGGTCTTTGCATAATGTGTCTGAATTAGAATAATTTGAGCCTGGTCATTTGTGCCTTGAGTGAGAAACTAACTATGGCTTAATGGAATATGTAAGTATATATAGTATATCTTAGTATATCTCAAACTCGGTTGAAGCAAATTGGTCTTTTGGATCCTCCATGGTATCTTGTTTTATAAGTGCCCAGAAATGGATTTGAACAAGACATTAGCCTGGTGCCTGCAGATCATAACATCTAATCTTTACATTCACTCCATTGGTTTTATATTTATTTCTGGATCGAGTGAAAACGCTGACTCAGACATAAAACTTTAAACATCTTAGTGCCAAGGATCTCTTGGGATTATTTGGTCCTATACAGAGCTGCCTGGGAATTAAGATCAGCAACAGAGGCCTTGTTCATGGTATCATCTCATGAACATCCATGAGAGAACACAAGAAACATGACCCTTTTTGGAGTGGTGTTGGAACTTTGAAATTCTCTCCCAAGGAAAAGCAGCCTGGTTCATTTGTGTGGCTGGACACTGTTTATATGCAAATCCTTACAGTTTGAATGCCAATTGACTCCTTGCTATTGTGGTTAGGTTTTTCTTGCTTTTAAAATGGTTGTTCTTGCTTTTAAAAATTAGTTGCTGTATTAATTGTGGTCCAGATTCTTTTTTTAAAAAAACCTGACTGTGTTATAACTCTGTGATAATATTATATGCAATCATGTGTTCTGTGGGCATGTAAAAACATAACTTTAATAGAGGAAAAATGATCAAGGTAAAAATTATATAATTGATTGAAAATTGCCTATGAATCACCATCCTGTTTTAGGCACACTTACAGACATATTCATGGGAAGCACTGTTGTCGGGTTATGGGGAATATGTTAATAGATACATGTTAGTAGATGCAAATAAAAGGGCCTGCCTGTTATTAAGTAGGGTGAAGCAAACTGCTGCACTTCTCACATGGAGGATGAATGTAAATAAAAGCAAATATTGGCCTAAGTGAGTGAGGCAGACAGTCTTTTAAAAAGTTGCTTTAAGAAGAGCTGCTGATTGCTGCTTCAGGCAGCAAAGTATCTTAGTCTGGCACTACTGATGGAAAGATATTGGCAACAACAACACTGCTTTCCATCAAGAGTGGAATCTCAAAGGAAAATATTGCACATCCTCATGACACATTATAAATGGCTTGGATGATCGGCTTAAAACACAAAGTTGGGTTCCTTTGAAAACTCTCTTTTTTCCTACATACTAAAACCAATCGGATCTGTATGAATACTGGCAGAAGAATTGTACTGAGTATTAGATGTTTTAGTCTAACAGTAAAAGGTGATTTGTGGCTATGCATTAGAACAGGTGACTTTTGTCTTGATGCGATCTCATCATACTGTTTTGTATTTATTTGGGGCTTTTTGTACTAAACAGTTATTTAAATAAAATAGATAAAACATATTGTTGAGCTTACTTCCTTAAATTAGCAGACTGTGATGTACACTTTCAAGAAAGTAATTCCTACTAAATAAAGTAGGGTTTACTTGAAGTAATTCTTAAAGGAATTGTATTGCTTCACTTTGAGAAATATCATATCCTATGTCTTTTATCATGCCCCTTATGAATTATGTGCAACCATTGGCTATTAATATCCATCATCGTTTCAAAAAATGAAAACACAGTTAATATGCAAGGCCTTAATTTGAGACCCTGGCCCCACACTGTTTAATTTCCCAATGATTTAGACAAATCCTTTGTGCAGCTAGTGTATTAGAGCTATACTCTGTGACATGTCTTCATTAAAATCAGATCAAAGAAAGGATGCTTTTCCTTATCCAAACTAAGCTGAAAGATAATCCACTCTTTTTGATATATTTCGCACAGACTGATATATATATAACGGGCATCATAAAAGTTTGAGGATTTACTGCACTATCTGAGAATGGCTGTAAGGGCAGAGTCTTTGGACAATAATTTGCTCGTAAGTACCATCCATCTCTTCTGAAGGAATTGTTTGCATTCTTAAAGCTATACATTCTTGACAAACTTTGTAGAAGATTATACTAACTGAATACTTAATGCAGTATGGTTCCAATTTGCCATAAGGTTCTTATCCCTCTTAGTGCCCAGATCCAGCTTCCTATATTCTAAAGGAATACTTGGTATTGAGAGTGAATACTTATCCAACGATTCTTATAAGGCAGATGTCCAGCCACTTTGTTGGATTAACAAATCCAAGCATTGCTGGATTGCTGACATCCATTGAGGATTCATGGCGAACTAGACTTTTCCAAAGGAGCGGAGACGGCATTGTGGTGAAATTGGTGGCTGGGAGGTGATTTCTGGCCAGCTTAAATCTCTCTGGATCAAGGAGAGATCGTGATATCGTCCACATGCACTCCAGACAGCTGCTCCTCGTGAGTAAACTGGAGGAACTTAGGTGTCTGCAAATCAGCTTGTGAGTTGAGCGGCTGAGAGTTGAGGGGTTTCCATCAAACTCACAGCTGCAATGTAGCCTATATGGACATAAAGTTCTGCCAAGCCTCATTTCTTAATCACTTTTGGAATTTGCCTCTTAACTGCTTTTCAGCTATTAAAACCTTTTGATCGACACGTCTTGTAACACACACTGGGTGAGTTTCCTTTAACCCTTAGTGAAAGAAATTTTAAAGATAAGTTTAAAGATA